AGGAGGAAGAAAAAGAACAACAATGTCCACTAGGTTGGAAAAGACATTTAGATTTTGTTATTTTTTTTTTTTAAGGCAAGTTGAGCAGACTACTTTCACAAACAAACTTTATGAATAAATAAATATCAAAAAAAACTACATAGTTTGTGTGAGTAGAAACGGGGAAAGTAATTAAATAATCTAAGCGACAGGCTCCATATCAGCATCACAAAATACTGGAACATTTTAAGGTTTAAAAAAACCCCAAAATGTTCCAGCACTCTGGAAGGCTGAAGCAGAAGGATCACAAGTTTGAGCCCAGCCTGGAAAACTTGGTGTCTTGGTGAAAGTCTGCCTCAAAATTAAAAAATAGAGGTAAGGGGCTGGGGATGTAGTTAAGGGTCAGCCCTGGGTTTAATCACCAGGACCGCAAAAGCAAACCAGCAAAACAAAAGCAGCGAACTCCCACAGAAACAGAAAATGAACAGCAATGATAACAAGTTCAAAACATAAAGGATACAAGTTGCTCCTTATTTCAAAGTAACGAGGAAGCTGTTTTAGAACAGAAGCCAGAAAATTAGTTATTAACCATAGTTATCAGCCAGGTCCCAGTAGTTGAGACTTACAAAATTTTAGTTTTTGTGTAGTGTCTCTACCTGGTTCTGATTCTCGGAGAAGACAAGTTATGCCTCTAGGAAGTAGGTATGCTCCCAAAGCATGTTAGTATCCGGAGAATATGAATTATAAATCATTTTGTTCCTTTACACTAAATAAAAAGTCTTTCTGGGGAGGAAATTCTTTTGCTCATTATGGTCACGACTGTCTGTTCTATGCATCTAGCTGAAAATTACCTTGCTAAATAACCTTCACTTTGCCCGGCTTTTCACGAGTTAGTTATTTTAATGCCCCTAAGCAGTCCAGGTGACTATGTACTTTTGCATACTCCGTGGGCTGCAGTGATGCTTTCTTTTTAAAAATAAGGCATTGTCACAAAGAAGGATAACTCTGAGTCATCTGTAGAAAAATGGGTGCACCTTGAGACCATAATGCTCAGTGAAAGGAATTAGACACAGAAGGCTACATATTGCATGGTTTCTTTTATATGAGAAACTCAAAGAATAAATAAAGGGAAAAATAAAAGATGATAGGAAAGAGAGAGGAAGGTCTTATGCGGAGGGAAGGGGGTCTAGTGGTGGACGGAGCGGGGTAGGAGGGCGCAGGAAGGGGAAGATTCAAAGGAGTCTTATATATGCACCAACTCCCCACAAAAAGTGTCTTTATTCTGTGTGGCAAACCTGTACTAGCAGAATAGGTCAGTGCAAATGTTAAGACAGAGTTAGGTTTGGAACACGATCAGCACATAATGAAAGGGGCTTGAAGTCAAGAGAAAATCAGGACTATAAAATACTCAACTTATCATCCGAAAAATATTTCCCAGATTGAAGAGCCTATTTACTACAAAGACAAGAGTCCCTTTTGGTTTATGCGACTCATTAAATAAGGCGAAAAAAGGAAAAATAATTATCGGGCCTTGCCTTACAAAATAGGGCCGATGTTATTATATCAACTTATGTCATACTCTGAAAAAATAAAAGCTTATTATTATAAATTGTATATTATGTTTTTGTGGATGTAGTTTCCTCCAGATTGCCTCCGTATAATAGTCCAGAAGTAACAACAGAACCACTTAGAAATTAAAACTGCCGTTTGTCTTGCCCATAGGATATTTTTCTTCAATTGTTAATTATATGCTGGACCTACAAGGTGTGTGAAACTATACTTCCTTGGTAAACAGTGACACAAGGCATCACCTCCACCATTTTACTGGACAGTCCATGAGGGGAAAGCGAGGCATCACCAAAGCGGTGATTTTTTTACTGCCTTAATAATTTTACCTATATAATCTGTCATCCTCCTTCACAAAAAGTTACAGAGTCCAACACTATGCTGGTCATACAACAAAGGGAAGAGGAGAGACTCTACAGAACCAACGGCAGATCGTCAGGGGTGCACCTGATTGTGGAAAGTGACATCCCAGTTGGAGATTTAATCAAACCAGTGAGTAATAACTCAAGCCCCAAATCATTAAAGCCAGGTATATTTGACTATCTAAGTTGAATCATTGCAAGGGCTTTTCATGTAATATAAATAAGTAGATCCCTCAGATGATTTTAAAGCGCAGTATCAGTTATATGCTACCGTTTAGGGAAAATGCAGATGAATTAAACAGATGACAAATACTTGTATAAGCTTAGTGCCAGTGGGCTAAACGCACAGAGCAATTTATCTTTGGAGCCTGTTACATATATTGCAAGGAAATGAGTAACGTACAGAAAAGGAGGTCAGATATGACAGGAAATGGAGATCAGATTAATATCTCTTGACGGAAATTTGGCGATACATGTCCAAAGTCTTAATTTTATTTTTGCTCCAGCAAATCCACTTTCAGGGATACACAGTCATCCCTTGGTGCTCCTGGAGGATTGGAACCAGGACTCCAGCAAATATTAAAATCTGTGATGCCCAAGTCATTTATATAAAATAGTATAGTATTTGCATATGACCCATGAGATCTTCGTTGGGAACTTTAAATCATCACTAAATTACTTATAATCCCTAATACAATGTCAATGTTCTGTAAACAGCTGTTATACTGTATCATTTAAGAAATAATGACAAGAATAGAGTCTGTACTTGGTCAAGGCAAATACAATTTCTTTTTCAAATATTCTTGATCCAAGGTTGATTGAATCTGTGGATATGAAATCCGTGGGTACAGCAGGCTGACTCTATATTAGAAACAAGATAAAGAATTTGTATAAAGATTACACTAAGGATATTCACTACAGTATCGCTTGTAAAAACAAAAAAAATATTAATTTAAGTGTCCATCATCAGAGCACTAGGTAAATAAACCCTATACTCACAAAGTGGTATGCTGTGTAGGCTTATCAAGGAGGCTGGAAAGGGACTGGATATTACACGGCGAGAAGTCATTTAATATTCACTAGGTGGTTGGTCACAATGAAAAAGTCAGAAAATAAATTTTGTTTGATAAATGAGCTTTGTCGGGGAAATCGGAACTCTCCTCCATTGTCAGGAGTGTAAAATGGTTAACCAGCTGTAGAAAACAGGCAGTTCTTCGAAAGTTAAACATAGCATTACTCTACAACCTAACAGTTCTACTCCAAAGGCTTGAAAATAGGAACGTAAATGAGTACTGGGTTCAAGAATATTCAAGGCAATATGACTTACCTTTACAACCAAAAAGGTAGAAATCACTCAAATGTCCATCAGAAAGGGAATGGATAAATCAATTAAAGGTACACATAAAATGGAATATTACTCTTTATGTAGTACTACTCATGTTCCGATACACGCTATAATGAGGATGAGTCTCGGAAACATTATGCTACCTCAGAGAAGCCAGGCCCAAAAGGACACATATTTTATGATGAAATCATCCAGAACAGGTAAATTCAGAGATGTAGAAAGGCAGCTAATATTTCCCAGGAAGAGGTGGAAAATCAGAAGTGGCTGCTTAACTGGTATGAGTTTTCTTTTTGGGGGGATGAAAGCATTTTGGAGCTAGAGAGAGGGCATGGTTGTGAGACAATGAACTAAGTAACTGCACTGTTCACTTGAAAATGGTTAGTTTTATGTGGATTTTTTCCTGAGTTATAAAAAAAATGATAGAGAAGAATATTTCACAAGACAGAGATTCACCACATATTTAGTGGGAAAAAGTGTGAAAGTAGGCAGGGAAGGAATGGATGTAGGAATTTATTGTTGCATTTATTAAATTAACTATGTATGTATAATATGCACATATGCTCCAAATTGATAAATACTGGAAAATTTTACAAAAACATTTTCTTTCTGTTTTTTTAAATAAAGAGGCCATGGCCTAGGGTTTGAGTGGTGGGCTTATGGTGGACTTAATCCTTTTCTTATCTGTATTTCCAAATATCTCACAATGAGTATGTAATGCTTTCTATTAAGAAAAAAATTATATAAGTAATATAAAAATAGGAATGAAAAATCAGGATGATCTCTCCTGACTCATAAAGTGCCTCTGTAGAATGCAGTCATAACATGGCTAGCTTTTATGTGAGCCCTTCCTTCTGTATTATCAGGCAATTATGTCCCACGATGCATAATAATTCAGTGAAAAGCTGGAAAAAGCAATCCAGCTCTCCAAAGTAGTTCCACTGTGCTTCTCTTCAAAGACTTATACCTCTTAGTTGAGATAATATTGAGGTAATTACAGTGACACAATGAAGTCACATGGTTTTTGAATACCCTCAGAAGGAATGTACTTACATGAAATATCATGTCCAGAAAGAGCATATAGTTCACTTGAATACTCCTTTAATAAAATATAATTTGCTTAAAATCATCAATGCGAGCTTATTCTTTTATGCATTGAGTATGTCAAATCATGATCAGTTTCACTGGGATGAAACAAAATAGGGCATTTTGTTTACCATTTTTCTACTACTATTTCAGATTGCTGTTAAAACTCCCCAGATGAAAATATCTGTATTTTCATGCTTTAAGAAACCTTGATAGAAAACTTATAAAACAGGAATGTTAAATGACTACCAGTCGTATTACTGAGAGAATGAACTATTCTATGAAAGCCTGAGCTCTTTCAATGAAGTTAAAATTTCTTCAGTTTTTCTGCTTGTATAGAATGTTCAGAAAATTTCCCTTTTCCTACTTACACAGTTACTTCCAACTTTTTTTAGGTCCTGTCCATATTGCAATTGTTTTTCGAGACCTTAGGAATTGTTGTTCAGAAGTTGTCCTCCGCTCGCATTACAGCTTCCTGCTTGTGAGCACAGGCTTGTTCACTCACCCAGCAAGTATTCGAGGAGTGTCTGCCGCATTCTGGGCAGCACGCTTCGTGTGCAGTGGACCCGGTGACACAGGCCCTAATCCCAGGCCATGGGTGGGGCCGTCTGTGCCTGCAGCTGTGACGTCATAAACCACCCCCTGAGCATGCGCTGAATATTGCCTGGAGGAGGAGGAGTCTGAGAAAAGCTGGAAGGGCTCATCTGAGCTTCTCCCAGGGTCAGAGGTTGGACTTGAGCGTGGCACCATGGCAGGTGGATTCAGGCATCTGTGAAGCTCTGGGCAGAATGCAGCACTCTCCGGGCTCTAGGCCAGTCGCATTCCATTGCTTTGAGTGTTAGTATTTCCCTCACTTTACAGAAGAGAAAACTGAGGCCCCAGGGAATTAAATAAATCACCTGAGGTCAGAGTTATTGAAGCTTGGAGACTGTATCTTTGTGACAAGGATGAGGAAGGAGAGGAAAGCATTGACCAAAGGTATGTTCTTGGGGACTTCCTACATCCAGGAAGGCAGGTGAGCAGAAGGAACTCAGAGGGGCTTTCTGGATATTCAGTGAACTAGGAAGATGCTTCGAGAAAGGTTCATGCTAAGCAGAGCTTTGGGCACACAAGGCACAGAGGCTGGGAGCACTTGGGGTTGAGGAGCTGGGCCTTCCAGAAGTGTCTTCAGCTCTCAGTGCAGGCTGAATTGCGTAGGCAATGTGTCTGAATCCTCTTCCCATTGATGTGGGGGAAAGGTTTGAATGAGCTCAGAAGGGTGTTCTGAGGGCAGATGGGAGTCCAGGGGAGAGCACTTCAGGCCAGGACAAGATTGACAGAGATGAAGACATTGGAGAGCAGGGGTCATGGAGGAAGGGCACAGGCCATCATGGAGCCGAGGTGACAGGACAGGGGACAGATGGGCTTAGTGACGCGGAGGGGAGGAGCCCTTCCAGCGATGGGGTGGATGAAGAAGTCATCTGCATAGAACATTAGGCACCTGGACATGGACAAGAATGAGAGAGACAGAGTCGGAAAGGCTCTGAATGAAAGTAGTGGGAGTGTGGTGGGGCTGGCTGCCTCCTTTGTGGACAATGGGACAGCTTCCTATTCCAGGGTAGTGACACCAGTGTCTCCATGGCTTCATAAAAGTTTCCTTCAAAATGAATCCCTTTGGGTCACATAAGTTTATTAAAGGAAAAGGAAAGGAAAGAAAGAATGATATGGAGGATGACTATAAAAGCTTTTAAAATTCCAGACATATGCTGAAAATAAGATTTTAACCTAAAGCGAAAAAATGGAAATGACATAATTTTTCATTTCTTGCAGTGAAATATTAGAAGTTATAGTAATATCATAAGCGCAGGAATCAAATGCTGTAGATAAAGCTCTAGGTTTCCAGGGGCTGTCACTGTTCCATCCTGAACGTCAGGTTAGTGTCATTAGGATGGCACTCTTCTGGGGCAGAATGAAAGCATAATGGCACTTGAAAATGAATCTTCTTGATAACAAGATGTTGTATGTATAGGACATACGTTCAAAATGAAGACATCCCAGTTTATCATGAGAGAAAAGTAGGGTCCTAAACAAAATCATATATACAAACAAAATCTTTCATATAAGTAAAGATTCAGCTAAAAAAAAAAATATATATATATTTTTGTTTGTTTGTTTGTTTGTTTTTTTGAGACAGGGTCTCACTATGTAGTTGAGACTGACTTGGAACTCATTATGTAGCCCAGGCTGGTCTCAAACTCACAGCGATCCTCCTGTCTCAGCCTCCTGAGTGCTGGGATTACAGGTGTGCGCCACCATGCCTGGCTAAGATTCAGCTAAAATTTATGAAACTAAAAATTAAAAAAGGAAAGCCTCAAAGGCACAGATCATGATTTTAATTTTGGGTTTTATCTTCTAAATGGTTTTTAAAATATCAAAATACAGTTATATAAACTAATTTAAAAGACAAGACCCTTGATTATGGGTGCTGCAAAATGAACAGGAGACAAATACTAAACAGCAGAGACACTAAGCCTGGTGATACTGCACTTCCTTCAAAACTCAAATGCAGCCAGGCGTGGTGGTGCAAGCCTGTAATCCCAGCACTTGGGAGGCTGAGGCAGGAGGATCGGCTGTGAGTTTGAGACCAGCCTTGGCTACATAGTGAGTTCCAGATCAATCTCAACTACGTAGTGAGACCCTGTCTCAACAAAACAAAACAAAACAAACCTCAAATGCAAATAATGTAGGCATACATCAGAGAGAAAGCTCAAAGCCTTCCAAGAAGACTCATACAGTTCTTTAGAAGATTCTGTTTGGAACAAGATGGATATTAGAGTGAAAATATTAAAGGTATGTATTTGTCTAAAACTTTAGGGTAATAACCAGACTATTTGTCTGGGAAAGCAAGAATTCCTACATGTACACAATGCTGTTTTTATTTATTTTACTGTCCGGTAGCAGGTTAGCTGGGTCATAATTTTAAAAATTGTGCTGATAAATTTTGTGACTAATTTATAAAGGTGACTTGTATACCATGGGAGAGATATGCAACTGATATGATTTATCCAGGTGAAATCAATTTTAATATTGCCTGAATTTCTTTATAAATATTCTTTAACCATCAAGAATAAAACAAAATTATGATGTCTATTGCTGCTAGACTATCTTCATATGTAAGTATGTATATATCAGAACTTTCCAAAATGGAAAGTGCTAATGGAGAAAAACTATTCAGTATAGTGAGCCATTAACAAACTGGTCTGAAGGTATGTTTTGTAGATAAAGTTTTATTTTAATCCAGCCATGCCTACCATTTACATATCGTCTGTTCTTGCTTTTTTGCTTCAACAATAGAGTATTTCTGGCAGCTTGGGCTGCATTTTCTAAAATGTTTCCTTTCTGGCCTTTACCCCCCCCCCCCAAATTGTCAGTTCTTGGCTTATAGACTTATTCAGAATAGTAGTAATTTATACAAATTTTAATATTCATTGATAATAGTGAATTGGCAAATTAATTAATTTCACTTCCCTGCTTTTCTACACTCAAATTATATGCTTATTTTAGAATTTGTGCCTGATCAATGCTTAAAAGCAAATAAGCAAAATCATTCATCAGAACTAAATACTCTGAAAGTTATTTTCACAAAAATAAATGAGGCAGAGAATAAAGAGGACATACAGTGGATATTATAAATAAGATAGTAACTCAAAGTTGAAGACTATCCTCAGGCTGCTAAGACAACTTCAGTTACTTACAGTGAAATGATTTATCTCACCTGGAATGTATGTATCTTCTTTTCTCTGGGTGCCCCATCAAAGGCATCATGGCAGTGTCACGGTTAGAAAAGTTCTATACAGAGTAGGAGATGGGTATGTACTTCCTGTCATTGATTTATTTATTTTCCCATAAGAAGACACTAACTCATGGTAGAGAGCTAACATTTGAATCCCACAGGTGAATACTACCATTGTCTAAATTTGGGATACAACTGTTAGTAAATTTGCTCTAAAACCCAAAAGGGTTAAAATGAAGATGACTGACTAAAACAACTTTGAAATAGAGAAAAAATGAATTGCTTGGAGCATCTCATTGGGTGGGTAGAATACGAGGGAATGGGCCATCGTCCCTGGTCAAGAGGACCACCAGGGGGCGCCTTGCTTCTAAGATATCCCCAGGGGTTGTTCTAGTCGGTTAAGATTCCTGGATTGGTAAGGATTCCTCAAAATCTTTCCGGAGACCTAAAATGAACTAATTAGCGCCAAGACTCTCAGATCCTTTCCAAGGCTCAAGTGATCCAAAAGCTCCGTGAAGCGCAGTGGAGTTTTATGTCCCCAAATTTGGGAGCTTGTATTTTAATTAATGTAGTCTTCAACTTATACAATCGTGGACAATCTATAGTCAAATGAAACTCCAGGTCTTTTTCACATGCATTGTGTTTAGGTTAAGATTTATTCTGGAAAAAAACTATTTATGGGAAACCCAAGAATGCATTTCGGAGTTCCGGGGACCTGGAGTAGCTTTGTTTCATACTCACTACGAGTGACCTTGAACAAATCACTACATATCCTTGGGCTTCAGTTTTCCTGGTTGCTCTTTTTTTTTGGCTTGGTAATAACATTTGAAGAAGAGTTGAGATTGTGCCTGTCAAATGTCTGGCACCTTAGTGAGCTTGTGTTCTTTAATTTTAAAAAGAAGGAAGGAAGGAACGGAGGAAGCAAGGGAGAAAGAAAACAAAGAAGCAAAGGAACATAAATCTCTGTTCACTCCTATTGCCTTTCTTCTTAATTCCAATTCTGCTTTCGCCTGTGAAAACCTCTTTATCTCAAATTGTTCTCAGGGTAAATGATGAGCACTTCCTGCCAGCCCTGGGTAATCATCCTTTGGAATCTTCATCCCAGTTGGATGTACAGAGTCAAATGAAGTCCGGACAGTCTCCTTCCAGGTTGATAGAAATCTGATGGATACTTCTTGGGGGAAAGCCACCCTTTAGTGATCTTGACTTCCCCAGACCCCAAGAAACTTGGTTTAGCTAAGGTCGAGGGCAAAGATGGCAGTGGTGATCTTTTGGTCCTGGCGTCCACTCTTCTCAGGTCCTCTTGCTTTCCTGTTGGATGCCAGGAGGATCACTGTCCTTTCATGCCCACTGGTGTCTTCCCACGTTTGTTAGGCCTTTGTGGCTTGGCTCCAGGATGCTGTTGTCTGCTTTTGTTCTCACTCCTCCTTTCAAGCCATCTCCAGGGCTGAGCATTGTGTTTCTTTCTCCCAGTTTACCTTGGACAGCCTGGTTTTGTAAATGCTTCCAGAGCTTTGTCAACTGCTTGACACAATACTTTTTAGAAAGACTTTAATCAATAACACTAATTTTCCTCCTTAAAATAGTGTTATTATTGAAGTAAAATCCACATAACATAAAATAACCATTTGAAAGCGAACAATTCAGTGACATTAAATAACAATTATAATCAGAATGCTGGGCATCTACCACCTCTGTCTGGTTCCACATTTGCATTACTGACAAAGGAAGCTCTGTACCCATTAAATAATCACGTCCTGTTGCTCCCTTCCTCTGGGCTGGTAACTTGCCAGATTTCATTCTGTCCCTATGGATTTATCTGTTCTGGACATTACATAGAAGGGAATATTATTCCACATAAAGGATATTTCAAATAAAGTAATCATATGTGACATTTTGTGCCTGGCTTCTTTTACTTAGCATCACGTTTTTGTGATTCAGGCATGCTAATTCTGCGTCAGAACTTTGTTCCTTTCTATGGCGGAATAATACTCCAATGTATGTAGTGTGTACCTCATTTTATTCATGTACTTTTTAGTTTATGGACATTTATTTGGACTGTTTCCACCTTTTGGCTTTTGTTTGAGGATCCGTTTTTAATACATGCTTTAAATGCACTTACTGCATCATATAGTAATTCTGTGTTTAACTTAGGAATCAACAACTCCTGCCCATTTAAAATATTTTTAATTAGCACATTTGCAGT